TAGCGAAAAAAGGCACAAAAGAACCCTTGCCACAGAAAAATAAACTTACTTTTAAAGAAATAGAAACAATAGCCAAAACAAAAATAAACAAGAACTGGAGGATCCCACCTAAGCACAGTTGGTACAGTGGAGTGAACCCAGGAGGAGCTCTGAACATCAGAAATAGACAGCATCAAACAACACTAACAAGATTTAGAACAGGCCATCTCAAGCCATTGAAGATAGAAAATAATAACAAAACCTACCCCACTTGCCCAAAATGTAGCTTGGCACCTGGAGCTCCAGAACACATTTTGGCTTGCATTAGATGCACTAAACAGGACCTTTGGGAGAGGCTGCTGCTCATCATAAAATAGCTCGAGGAGCATGAACTCATGGAATTCGTGTAATCTTTACACAAGGGGATAAGAAACAACAACAACAACAAATTAATAGTGTGTGACATTTCTGTAACAACATTGTTGCCATCATCAGACTAAAGAACAAATGCATATGGGTATGTAATGAATAATTCCATTTATTCTTTTGTCTGATGATGGTAACAACGCTGTTACCAAAACATCACACACTATTGATTTATTTGGATTAGATCTTTTCTTTTTTGCTTATCCCTAGTACACGTGGTACAGGCCATGATAATCATGGTGGGTAGTTATCGACTGCTCTTACTGTAAGCCCACCACATGTGAAAAGCAGTTCGACTTTGCACTTACAAATGTGCCAGAGCCCCGTTTGGTTACTTGCACTCGCTGGTGGGGTTGGACTTTTGCAAGAATCGGGGGCCATTGGAGCATTTTTTTTAAACAGAAAAAAGTATCCAATGCGGGAATTGAACCCGGGTTGTAGTGGTCGAAAACCAAACGGTTTAACCAGCCTTCCACCGACCCCCCAGATCTTGTAGCTATAATCCAAATAGTGAGTTATCACAATACCATCCTAAATAGAACTAATCAAGTTCGCTCCCTACAGTAGCTAGAATAAACCATTGGCTGTCATAAGAAGAATAGCATCTAATGAGACACAATCTTTGGATTCAGGATCGAATCCTGCATTGGACACTTTTTTTTATTATTATCCCTAGTACAAGTGGTACAGGACATGATAATCATGGTGGGTAGAAGGCGACTGCTTTTTACTGTAAATGTACCACATGTCTACACATGTGAAAAGCAGCTCGACTTTTGCACTTACAAATTTGCCAGAGCCCCGTTTGGTTACTTGCACTCGGTGGTGGGATTGGACTTTTTCAAGATTCGAGGACCATTGGAGCATTTTTTTTAAATCAGAAAAAAGTGCCCAATGCAGGATTCGAACCAAGGTCGTAGCTGTCGAAAACCAACAGTTTAGAACATCTTTCCATTGACCCTCCTTGACACAATTTAAAAATTACAAATCAGTTCAGTAAACACTCACACAATATCAATTATATTGCCTTTGAATGAAAATACTAAATGCAAATTCACTAAACAGTGACTATATATACAATTTGAAAACATGTATGTTAAGGTATGAGAGGTCAAATTAAAGAAACCTCCCTTAACAAATAAAACTTTTACCCAAAGTCTTGATATTGTTTGGGCTGCCTCGGGTGATCAAGCAAGAAAGAAAATAAGGAAGACAAAACCAGCGGCTACACCTGTAAAGCTCTTCTGCTCTACTAAAAAAACTCTTTATTTAAACAACACGGCTAAGTTATATACATTCAAAAGGAAATTTACATAATAATTTATACATTCAATAGAAATCTACATTCCCAGTCATACATTCAAAAAGATATTTACATACTATATGTCATGACTTTTAACATACCCCCACCTTTCTTTTTTGTAAAACAAGAAAGAAAAAATCCGTTCCACCGTGATGGGGGGATCCTGGTAGGTGGGACACCGTTGCAGGGAGCCCAGGCTCTTATCCAGGAAAACCATCTTCTCCTCGGCACACTGCGGCACCCTCTCCATACACACCACCGGAGATTGCCCCATAAGCGTCCATCTTCTTCTTCCAAAGAAATCGGAGGTAGTCCCAATCATTTTCCCTGATGGCCATCACCTGGAAATATCTCCTCATGTCGGCCAAAACTCCGAACTTATTTTCCCGAAGTTTTATCCCTATCTCAGGAATTCTCCTCAGTAGATTGGGTATCTTTTTTAAATATCGTCTCAAGGAGAGTCTGTTGTGTCTTCGACTGGAAGCGTCGTCAAATACCGGCCGTATAGGCGTCGTTTTGGACTAACTCTTAAACAAAAGGTGACGGGGCAAATAGTGTCCTTCCACCTCAGGTGGATTTTCATTGACTCCTTCAATGAACCCCTCACTCAACCAATCTTTTGGATCAATAATTTTTCCTTCCACCTTTGATTCAGTACCTTGTTCTGCATCTAGCTTTTCTTCCACCTTTAAATCAGTACCCTGTTCTACATCTAGCTTTTCTTCCACCTTTAAATCAGTACCCTGTTCTACATCTAGCTTTTCTTCCTCCACCCTTGAATCAGTACCCTGTTCTGCATCCAGCTTTTCTTCTTCATTACCATCATGATCTTTTCCCTTGTTGTATTTATCGTCCTTATTCTCTGCATAATCAGATTTATTTATGGTTTTCAAATCTTGGGATTCTGTTTCCTTATAATTATCCTTTATCTTAGATTCCGTATCTCCAGTTGGTCCTGCTTCCACCAATTTCCTCGATGCTTGAACTCCGACAACTCTTTCCTCATTATCATCAATCGACTCAGTTTCATCATCTGAAATCCTTACTTGATCAGCGCCTTCAGCTACTGTTCCAGAATTGTTCACCGGTTCATAACCTTTAATTGCCGTTCCAGAATCCTTCACTCCATCGCCCTTAGGCTTCGCTTCAGAATCCTTTACGCCTTCGCCCTTAGGATTCGCTTCAGATTCCTTTACGCCTTCGCCCTTAGGCTTCGCTTCAGAATCTTTTACTCCCTCGCTCTTAAGCTCCGCTTCAGAATCCTTTACGCCTTCGCCCTTAGGCTCCGCTTCAGAATCCTTTACTCCGTCGCCCTTAGGCTCATCTTCAGAATCCTTCATTCCTTCGTCCTTAGGATTCGCTTCAGATTCCTTTATGGCTTCGCTTCAGAATCCTTTACTCCGTCGCCCTTAGGCTGATCTTCAGAATCCTTTACTCCGTCGCCCTTAGGCTCCGCTTCAGAATCTTTTACTCCGTCGCCCTTAGGCTTCGCTTCAGAATTCTTTACTCCGTCGCCCATAGGCTGATCTTCAGAATCCTTCACTCCGTCGCCCTTAGGCTCCACTTCAGAATCATTTACTCCGTCGCCCTTAGGCTTCGCTTCAGAATCATTTGCTTTGTCTTTAGCCTCAGAATCTTCCTTATTCTTTAAATTTGCATCTTCACATTTTTCATTAGCAGTTTCTTCTTGCTCCAACTCTTCCTTATTAAAGTCCATTTCCAACAGATATTCATCACTTGAGGCTTTGTCTCCCTTTATATTTGCTTCTTTAAATTCAACTCCAATTCTACCACCAGTAGAAAGAGCATCCCTTTCCCGTTCACGCATAACGCAAATTCCAGCCTCTAAATAAAATCTTTCCATTATGTAAATTTCACACTCCTCAAATTCCCTATCTATCTCATCGTCGCTAATAGCCTCTTGGGCCAATAAAATTCCCTGGCATTGTTCATTTAATGCCACCAGCTCCAAATGGAGAGATTCCAACCTATCATACCTTGCATATAAGCCACTCCTATCAATGGAAGGATCCTTTAACTCTGCATTTAAACTATTGACTTGCTCAGCAAATCTACCTCTGGCAGCCTCTCTTATTTTGCTCAACTCCTCCATTTCACCTTGTAGTTATCCTTTCACCTTTAGGTATCCTTTCACCTTGTAGTTATCCTTTCACCTTGTAGGTAGCCTTTCACCTTGTAGGTAGCCTTTCACCTTGTAGGTAGCTTTTCACCTTGTAGGTAGCCTTTAGCCTTGTCCCCCTAGATTTATCTTAGCTTCCTTGAGTTCTTTAGATTTTCCTTTAACCTCTTAGAATTCTTTAACCTTATCTTGAGCTTCTTCAACTTCTTTATCCTTACTTGAGCTTCCTCAACTTCTTTATCCTTACTTGAGCTTCACTTTTCCCTTGAGCTCCCCTAAACCTTTAACAAAGGGCTTTTTTTGAGCTCCTTTAAGCCTTGAGCTTCACTTTTCCCTTGAGCTCCCTTTAACAAAGGGCTTTTTTTGAGCTCCTTTAAACCTTGAGCTTCACTTTTCCCTTGAGCTCCCTTTAACCTTTAACAAAGGGCTTTTTGAGCTCCTTTAAACCTTGAGCTTCACTTTTCCCTTGAGCTCCTTTTAACCTTTAACAAAGGGCTTTTTGAGCTCCTTTAAACCTTGAGCTTCACTTTTCCCTTGAGCTCCTTTTAACCTTTAACAAAGGGCTTTTTGAGCTCCTTTAAACCTTTAACAAAGGGCTTTTTTTCTTTTCTCCTCAACTTGACCAGCCCATGCAGCCCACCCGGGGACGCCACAAATGTTAAGGTATGAGAGGTCTAATTAAAGAAACCTCCCTTAACAAATAAAACTTTTACCCAAAGTCTTGATATTGTTTGGGCTGCCTCGGGGGATCAAGCAAGAAATAAAATAAGGAAGACAAAACCAGCGGCTACACCTGTAAAGTTCTTCTGCTCTACTAAAAACGGCTAAGTTATATACATTCAAAAGGAAATTTACATAATAATTTATACATTCAATAGAAATCTTTAAAAAATATATATTAAAAAATGCTCCAATGGCCCACCCCTATTCTTGCAAAAGTCCAACCCCACCAGCGAATGCAAGTAACCAAACTGGGCTCTGGCACATTTGTAAGTGCAAAGTCGAACTGCTTTCACATGTGTAGACATGTGGTGCGCTTACAGTAAAAAAAGCAGTCGCCTACTCACCATGATTATCATGGCCTGTACCACGTGTACTAGGGATAAAAAAAACTAAATAGTAAAAATGGTAATTTTAGGGTTGAAAACTGTCCTTTGTTGAGAAGTGTCCTCTAGCGAGGCTTTGTGATATCCGAAAGCTTGAGATAATAATAAAGCAAGACACTCGAACTCAAGAAGGGCCTGGCTCATCAGTGGTGAACCTTACCAGTGATTTTTCCAGTTTAATCTACCACACTGTTCGAAGATTGTATTTTGGTTTCATAGACATCGTTGCAGGAAGAGAGAGCAGTAGAAAAATTATTTCATTTAAAAGAATCATATGAAAATATCATAAGATAATCTTGGAAGAGCAGACTTCATGTCTAAGGTGAACATAGACAGCATTAAACAACAGGATTTAGAACAGGTCATCTCTCAAGCTATTGAAAAAAAAATATATAAAATCTACCCTACTTGCCTAAAATGTAGCTTGGCACCTCCAGCTCCAGAACAAAGTTTGGGTTGCATTAGATGTACTAAACAGGACCTTTGGGAGATGCTGCTGCTTATCATAAAACAGCTTGAGGAGCATGAACTCATGGAATTTGTGTATCTTTACACAAGGGGATAAGAAACAACAACGTTATTGCTGAAAAATCATACACTTTGCTAACTTCTACCCACCATGATTATCATGGCCACATGTACTAGGGATAAGTAAAACCACAAACCTCCAATTGCACTTGGAGCATTTAATGTCATATTGAATTTGTAGGAAATATGTGTAAATATTCTGGTGAATAAATAAATTACAAAACACTGTATATATAACAACAAAATCCATTATTTAAAAATAAATAACCATTTATTAATGTAAAGTTCTCTATACAAATAATGTACAAAAAATTTGGAGGCAGGGTCAATGGTAGTAAAGGTGGGGTCCCCTTGGCAGAACTGACTGCTATAGGGCGCGTCCCCAGGTGGCGGATAGGGGAACGACCTTCAGATATGAAGGCCAGCTGCGAAACAAGCAGAATAACGCAGTCGCGGACCAACAGCAGCATTGTTAGAAGAGGAGTAGACCTCTTTAAAAATCCTGATCAACAAAAGCTGCACCCCTACACCCCATTCCATGAGACCACTCATGGAATTCGTGTAATCTTTACACAAGGGGATAAGAAACAACAACAACAACAAAGGTGGGGTCAGTGATGTTAAGGCAGGGCTTATGGTGGCAGAGGGGCGGGGTCGTGATTGTAGGAGGGGCCGTCCTAGCTCCCTTGAAATGAAGAAAGGGGACTTCCTTAGGTTGTGGAAACATGGGCTCGCTTTCTCCTCCTCCCTTCAACACATCAGGATGGAGTTAGACAAGGGTGATATCAGAATGGTTCATCTAGGAATTACATTACGGGAATATATACATACGGGAATCGAGGGTGTTACCCACTCGTCCAACGACTTTTTGTTTGCGTTTTTTTGGGGCTCTGGTACATTTGTTGGTGCAAAAGTCGAACTGCTTTTCACATATGTAGACATATGGTGCACTTACAGTAAAAGCAGTCGCCTACTTCTACCCACCATGATTATCGTGGCCTATACCACGTGTACTAGGAACAAGCAAAAAAAAAAAAACTCTTTTGATTTATATGATTAAAGAATGCATTCTGGCAAGCTTTTCTTCAGCTAACTATGGCTTTGATATAAAACCATATTTGCATAAGAGCTTCACTCGATACATTTTATTGTAATTATATGTATGTAAAACGACAATGGAAACTATCCCGCAAGGGTTTCTTTTAAATGAAAAATCGAAATTTATTTTTAAAGAGAAAAAACGACTATTTCTAACTTTAGAGATGAGGTATGAAAGGATGAATTGTGAAGAGTAACGATAAACGGAAAAATAAAAGTGCCCAGGGATTCATCCTTTCATACCTCATCTCTAAGGTTAGAAATAGCCTTTATTTCTCCTTAAAAATAAATTTCGATTTTTCATTTAAAAGAAACTCATGCGGGATATTTTCCAATGTCGTTTTACAATCATAAGCCGCATTATATTGTATTATAAATTATATGTATGTACCTCTACAGACCTATATGTCCATAGGTTCCCTAAACACTTCTAAGCTGTCTTCCTTAATAAATACAGGTTATATAACAAAACCAATAAAATAGTATTGCGGTTTGAAGATAAATTTGGCAAAACTGCTGAGACGGTTTATTACTGATGAGCCAAGCCCTTTAACTTTTAGCATTGCACAATGAGATCTGTAGAGATAATAATTTACAATATATATAAAAACACAAACAAATTGCCAAAAACTATTGTTATAATTCTTTTTTTTACCAATAGAAACAATTGAATTTATGATTTATAGATAAAAAGAGTTAAGGCATGTTTTTTTTTTAGTAATTTGTCTACATCCGCAATCTTGCAATTTTGAGTAGACATTAAATTAGATTGTGAAATATTTGCAAAGGATTTATGCGATATACATCAATCAAATAATTGCAAAAAGTTTCTTTATTAAGTAAAAATGGCCAGCTTTCAAGCATTAGCTCATCATCAGGCCAATTGTTTCGCAAATTACTACAATATATATATATATATATAGACATTAGATGTTTTATGCAAACTTACTAATTCCTTCCATTCTTTGATTCCTCTTTGATCATTGATTCCTCCTTTTTAATTTGTTTGATTTTATTCATAGCTATTCTGAACCGTGCTTTGCTGGCCGTGAAATAAGCTGAAGACTGAACAACTTCACGTCCTTTAGCACGGTCCCAATCCTGCATACACCAAACTTGGTTAATACACCACGTATCCCATAGGCACACTTCTATATATAACACTCAATAGTTCACGAATAACGAAACTTCTTGCGTAAGGTTTTTAGAAATTTTTATCTTCTTCTTTCTAATCTCCACTCAATCATATTAGGGTAACAAGCTTGTAAAGCTTGAGACTTTTGATGGTGTATATGTATATTTGATGGTTAATATGTTAAAATACCTTCATAAAGGTTGGCGTTCAGCCAACTGAAATATTGGTAAAATAAATGATATTTTGATCCAAAAAATAGTTCACGAATTTATCATAAATTTAATTTATAATCTCAAGATATCATTCAACCAGCACGTATCATCCACCATGCACGTTTATGCGTGTAATTAAAAATAAAAAAGGCATATCCTGACCAGGAGCACATGTGCTTTTCAGAAGGTAGAGCGCTATCTGGTGGAACAGAAATCAACTAAACATTGATTTAGCCTGTTCTATGATATTTGGCCAAACCAATTTCTTAATAAATCAAGAAAAGCCATCCACGAATCGCATGTGTTTCGCGCTGTTGGCGCTCGTCAGCGTGGAGTAGGCTGTACCACTGTGACCAAAAAGATTTTTAGTTCCAGTGGCTTCTTGAAAAACCAAGAAATGGGTATTTAAGGCCAAATGTTGTAATATATTTCTCGCAATATCATAAATATTTATAATAAAGTTAAACCTGTCTATAGCGCCCCCTCTTGGGACTCACCAAAATTGGGTGCTATAGACAGGTCACTCTCTATCGCATCATACTACGTATTTAAAATCGGGCACTAGAGAGGAAGGCACTATTTAGAGGGGGCGCTATTGACAGGTTTAACTGTATGTAAATAATAGTATTTATCATTAATTTATTAATGTAATACTCCTGTTGAAGGACTGATAAGTCGAAAGCTTGAAAATATAAGGTTTACACAAGAAACTTAGCCCTGGAAGCTTTATTTATTTTATTATTATACACCATGTTCTTTTCAAATTACAGACAGGAATATGTAGATAAGGATATCAAAATTACTTTCACTTTTCAAATATCGTTAACCACAAACGTTTGAAATAGGTTCTATAGATTTAACCCTTAATTACTCGCGCTGGGTGTATTACACCCAGTAAGATACTAAACTGTAAAAAATAAATATAGCAGCTTGAGTGTTTCGGTAGCTTAATTATTTGTGGTGAAGCATAGATTGGCCTAATGAATTTCAAAAATAAACATTTAACTTTTTGGTAATCAGATAAGCTGGGTGGTTTACACCCAGCGCGAGTGTTTACGTAACACCTTTGGCAGGTCGTGAGTGACAGCTCGCCTATATTTTTTAGGTTTCAGATTCAGATGGATGTATTTCTGTTGGCTTTGTTCACATATTCTTTGTTTACTCTTTATTCCTAGCTCTCCAAAAACTATCCTTTGCTATTTATTTTTAAAAATATTTCATGGATACATCAACTCTCTCTAATTCTGAATCCAAAATGAAGTTGTTGGTGGCACATCAGATATATCTTCTGATGAAAATACCGAAATATATAGCTACCATGATTCTGAATCCGAGTTGGAATCTGAAAACGAAGAATTTGGTTCTTCAACTTCTAGTTTCTATGTGGGGAGAGACCAGACAACGCGGTGGAAGACCAGTGAATGGCAAAGTACAAAGGTAAGAATTCGCTCTTACAACATAATTTCTCACCTTACTGGACCAAAAAGAGATGGAAAGAACATCACAACAGCTGTTGGAGCTTAGAGAAAATTTATCTCAAATAAAATAGTTGAAAAAATAGTGTGTAACACCAATAAATATTTCTCAAGGATTTGAGGAAATTTTTCTCGAGAAAGGGATGTAAAAGATAGTAATTAGATAGAGATTTGGGTTCTTATTGGACTTTTGTTACTTTCTGGGACAAGAAAGGCCTGCCATCTTTCCTTTCAAGAAATATGGGAAGATGATGGAACCGGATTCGAAATTTTCCAGTCCGTAATGAATCGCGAGCGATTTTTCTTTTTACTCAGGTGTTTGCGTTTCGATGATTTGCCCACACATGAAATAAGAAAAAAGTTGACAAACTAGCACTAATTATAATTAATTATAATATAAATATAAAAATATAAATAATTATAATTATAAGGGCCTTCAGGTTGCTTGCCAGCGTATATTTCAAGATTCACCACATAGCTTGTGTGGGACCAACATAACACATCAGTTTGTAACGAATTCTTCAAACATTTCTAGATTATAGAAATATATATTCAAATATATTCTAGATTATAGAAATATTTGAAGAATTTGTTACAAACTGCAAAACTATGTATAATCCTGGGGAATATTTGACAGTAGACAAAAAGATTATTCCATTCAAAGGTCGATGTAGTTTCAAGCAGTACCTTCCCAATAAACCCGCAAAATATGGCATAAAGACTTATGTGTTATGTTGGTCCCACACAAGCTATGTGGTGAATCTTGGAATATACGCTGGCAAGCAACCTGAAGGCCCTTATCAAATAAGTAACTCTCCCAACAATGTAGTTGAAAGACTTGCACTTCCAATCTCCGGGTCAAAACGCAACATAACAACTGAAAATTGGTATATCAGCTATCCTCTTGCAGTAGCTATTTTGAATGAGCATAAATTGACCTTAGTAGGAACACTCAAAAAGAACAAAAAAGAAATACCACCTGAATTTATGACAAATCGCGCACGGCAAGTGTTTAGCTCAATTTTTGGTTTTCAAAAAAATGTCTCCCTTGTATCATACTAGCCGAATGACCCGGGTAACGCCCGGGTTTTACCCGATTAAATGCTTCTATTCAAATACTATTCGTTACAATTATAAATTGGCGCCGTGGATGTCATTCTTGTATAATATATAAATGAGTTTTAAAAATTGTAAAAAAAAAAAAAAATGCATCGGCCGCTTGTATGTCTGGAACTCTTTATACTAACAGGACGTCTGTCTGGACCTTTTTAGACTAAAAGGACGTCTCTTTTTCTGGACGTCTTTACACTAACAGGACGTTTGTCTGAATGTCTTTACAATAACAGGACGTCTGTCTGTGCCTGGATGTCTTTACACTAACAGAACGTTTGTCTGTCTGGAACTCTTTACAATAACAGGACGTCTGTCTGTCTGGATGTCTTTACTCTAACAGGACGTCTGTTTGTCTGGAACTCTTTACACTAACAGAAAGTCTGTCTGGATGTATCTACACTAACAGGACGTCTGTCTGTCTGGAACTCTTTACAATAACAGGACGTCTGTCTGTCTGGACGTCTTTACTCTAACAGAACGTCTCTCTGTCTGGACGTCTTTACACTAACAGGACGTCTGTTTGTCTGGAACTCTTTACACTAACAGAAAGTCTGTCTGGATGTATCTACACTAACAGGACGTCTGTCTGTCTGAATGTCTTTACACTAACAGGACATCTGTCTGTCTGGACGTCTTTACTCTAACAGAACGTCTCTCTGTCTGGACGTCTTTACACTAACAGGACGTCTGTTTGTCTGGAACTCTTTACACTAACAGAAAGTCTGTCTGGATGTATCTACACTAACAGGACGTCTGTCTGTCTGAATGTCTTTACACTAACAGGACATCTGTCTGTCTGGACGTCTTTACTCTAACAGAACGTCTCTCTGTCTGGACGTCTTTACACTAACAGGACGTCTGTTTGTCTGGAACTCTACACTAACAGAAAGTCTGTCTGGATGTATCTACACTAACAGGACGTCTGTCTGTCTGAATGTCTTTACACTAACAGGACTTCCGTCTGGACCTCTTTACACTAACAGGAGGTCTGTCTGTCTGGAACTCTTTCACTAACAGGACGTCTGTCTGTCTGGAACTCTTTACACTAACAGGACTTTTGTCTGGAACTCTTTAAACTAACAGGACGTTTGTCTTTCTGGAACTCTTTCACTAACAGGACGTCTATCTGGACCTCTTTACACTAACAGGACATCTGTCTGTCTGGAACTCTTTCACTAACAGGATGTCTGTCTGGAACTCTTTCACTAACAGGATGTCTGTCTGGAACTCTTTACACTAACAGGACGTCTGTCTGGACCTCTTTAAACTAACAGGACGTTTGTCTTTCTGGAAAGACAAGGTAATAAGACCATACCCAAATGATAAGGTACCCCATTTGGGTTATATATTAGAAAAATAAGGTATAATAAGACCACATCCAATAATGACCTTTTGGTAACAGCATTGTTACCATCTTCAGAAAAAAGTACTCTATGTACTGAAGATGGCAACAACACTGTGTGTTACTGAAACATCATTCAGAATTTAATCATTTAGATGGGGTGCTTGTTATCCCTTATTATGATCAAATTATGATTTTTACCAATTAGCTTTTCTTCCTGTAAGAGAAAACCCACTCTCTCAAAGGACCCTTTTTGGCTCTGCAACTAGGTGTTGTCCAATACAGAGGTTCTACTGTATTAGTGATGAAAACTTGTTGTTGTAGAGAGGTGTTCTCTAGTGTGAGTGTTCTCTCATGGAGGTTGTTCTACTGAATCAGTATATTGAGAAAGAGGGAACCAGAAGACTTTTTACCTCCAGCTCCTTGGGGAGTTTCTGGATCTGATGGACATAGGGTTTGAGCATGGCCGAATCAGTGTGGACCTCGTTGACAGTGGGTTTATTGCAGATGGTCTTGACCTGGCTGGCAAACTGGACATTCATACACTCAGCATTAGTTTACAGCGTAAAGTCTGGTTATCTACGGACAATAACTTTCCAGAATGATTCCAAGGTTTTCCCACTATGTACTAAGTGTCAACCTGCAACCCCAAAACACATTATTGCCTGTAATGAATTATCCATTGATGAGCTCTACTCATCCCCGGCAGACACCATAAAAAGTCTCAAGTTTTACAAGCTTGATGCCCAAATATGATTGAATGGAGATAAGAAAGAAGAAGACCACTAAGATTTTATACCTAGAGTATAGACAACCCTCTAACCTTGATCCATCCATGTATAAAACTGTATAGATGTCTGAAACATATGTATAATACATTTCCTTTTTCTCACTTGTACTAATCTAAATTATATAACAATAATGTCATCAGCGAAAAGCCCAATATTGGTTTTATGTGAAATTTTTCTTCTATGCCTGCAATAAATAGGGTGAAGAGAGTTGGGCTAAGGACTGATCCTTGTGGTAATCCTTGGTACAATTTTAAGGTTTTAGATAGAGTGTCATTATATTTGACCCTGATGTATCTATTTTTAAGGAAATCATTTATCCAAGTGATAGCTTTTCCATCAATTTTGAAATGTTTGTATAATTTTGTAATTAACTTGTTTTTCCATACCCCTTAACAAAAGCTTGTGTAAGGTCTAAAAAAGCAGCTATTGTGTGGTTAGTTGGTTTTCTGTTTGTGCATCTTTTACCTTTTGTGTGAAAAATAAGAGTTGGTCTATTGTCCCATGTCCTTTCCTAAATCCATAATGTTCTTTTGGTAAGAGATTGCTTGTGTCGAGGTGGTAGGTGAGTCGTCTGAGTATAATTTTTTCCATTAATTTGCAGCAAATATTTGTGAGGGAGATAGGTCGGTAGTTTTTTGGGTCATCAGCAGATTTGTCAAGTTTTTTAATAGGAATTATTGTTGCAGTTTTCCAGTCTTGAGGCAATTTTCCAGTTTTCCAGGAGTTATTGAAAATATCAAGAAGTTTTTCTTTGCCATTTTTGCCCAAGTTTGATATCATTTGGCCATGGATTCCATCTGGCCCAGGAGTCTTGTTTAGGTCAGTGTTTTCTAATGCATAATCTAGCTCTTTCATATTGATTTTTTCATGGAAAATATTATGAGTGCTAGTGACGTTTTTACAGTCATGGGTAATCTTTCGGGCCTTTTTTTCAATTTTCTTATATTTTATTTCAAATTTGATTTTACTACTTATTTGATATGAATTACCTAAAAGATTAGCAGCATTTGTGTCATTAGTTGCTGGGGTACCATCTGTATTCTTAATCATATTTGTGTTTTCAGTTTATGGCTGGGCTCTGTCAATTTGTTTTGCCAAATGCCAAAGTTTGGTATTTGGGTTTCTTGGGTTCAGGTTTTCACAAGTTTGTTTCCATTTTTCCCTTTTCATATTTACGTATAATCTTTTTATTTTTGCATTCACAATGTTCAGTTCAGTTCTACAATTTGTTTGGTTTTGGGTGCACTTTTTTTGTAGTTCATTTATTTTAGTTATAAGTGTTTGAATATCTTTTGCCTGGTGTGTATAATTTGGATTTCATTTCTTAATATTACCTCTTGGTATTGAAACTTTGGCTGCTTTAATAATGGTGTTATTGAAAGATATCCAATTTTGTTCCAGATCTTTTATTCTAGTGGGTATATTTTTAAAGTCTTCATTGGTGTTTTGCTGGTAAATATTCCAATTAGCCTTTTTGAAGTTCCAGAATTTTTCTTTAATTGAGCTGGTTTTGGTCTTGGTGCTAATTTCTATCAAAATAGGCAAATGATCACTTCCAATACTTTTTAATATTTGCCATTTGCATTTGTAGAAAATGTCAGGACTGGATAAACTTATATCAAGGGCTTGTGCGGTATTATAACTGTAGGAATGGTGGGTAGGATTCCCATCATTTAAGCACATGAAGGCATTGTCGTCAAACAAGTTTGAAAGTATTTTGCCTCTTGGGTTTGGCGTGGAACATCCCCATAGTTGATGTTTGGCATTAAGGTCACCTACAATAATAGTGTTGTCTGTAAGAAATTGAGCCATTGTTCCATCGTCAATAAGTTTATTGTTTGGTGGGTGATACATATTGAATATGTTGATGGTTTTGTTTTGATTGAGGTAGACTTTGTTACCTTGGGCTTTGAGGTCTGATGTGTTTGGAATATTAATGGCTATGTCTTCATAGTACAAATTCTTTATTAAAAATGCAAGTCCACCCCCTTCTTTATTTCGGTCTTTTCTGAGGATATTGTAGTTTTTATATTTGAGATTGTACTTTTCATTTAATTTGGTTTCCTGTAGGGCTATAATTTGTATCTTTTGTTTTTCAGCTATTTCCATTATTTCTTCTAATTTTAATTTTGTTGCTGTTGAGCACAATCCATATATGTTGCACTGCATAATGCTCAATTGCTTGGAAGTTGCAAAGTGTGAAGTTTGTGGAGACTGTATTATACTTATCGGACAGAACCCTCTACCTAAGTCCTGAACATGCCCCTGTTTATTCTGCGCGATGGGCGATGCAGCATGCAAATCAACATCTGATCTCATGGAATGGGGTATAGGGGTGCAGCTTTCGTGCCGCCTTGGCGACCGCCGGTAGAATGTTGGTTGAAAGGCCGTTTTAAACTGTTTTCTTTTCTTCTTGCGCGGGCGTGCCTTTCACTAACAGGTTTTATTATGGATTGTTCCATATTCAAACATGCCGAGTATATTAGAGATATGTGAAGATCCCCACCTATGTATCCCCAACCCAGAAGCTAGGTTTACCTGGAGTGTTGATTTGGTCTGCTCCACCACGGTGGGGCTAACAGTGCAGATTAAGGCAGTCTTGGAGTTGCCCTCCAGGGAGTTCTTTAGGATCCGGGTCAGCTTGGAATCCCGGTAGTTCACATGGCTACTCCATCAACCAACACATCGTTATCTAGCTTCACAAGGCTTGAAATACATTTTGGACAAGTGGGGTATATTTTGTTGTTATTTTCTACCTTCAATGGCTTGAGATGTGTGTGTGGTCTGTTCTAATAATTAATATTAAGTAAGCTAAGTTTAGGAGAAAGTTTT